TTCTTCCCATATTGCCTTCAAAAGCCATTTAAAAAAGTGTTGTCATCAAGCCCGGCTAGCTCAGTCGGTAGAGCATGAGACTCTTAATCTCAGGGTCGTGGGTTCGAGCCCCACGTTGGGCGTTTCTTTTTATCAACTATTTTTTATATTTTATATAAAAAAATAATGTGCCTAAAGAATTTTTTAAAATTTAAATATAATTAAATATAAATATAAACTTATTTAAATTAAATACTTATAATATCAAAATAGATATTTATGATATAGCAAGAAATCTTCAATTTGTTTATTAATTAAAAATTAATAAATTTTTATTTATTAACAAATCTTTAATTATTAAAAAATAGGAAAAGCAGTTAAAATAATATAAACAGAGGAAAAGAAGAGAAAGTTGACGAATATATAAGATTTGTCAATTTTTCTCGATATTTGTAATAACACTAAATTTTTTCCAATTATCTGTTATTATTGATCATCAGTTTAAATATTACAGTATTTATAAATATAATATTTATTTATATTTAGAATATCTATTTATAAATAAATTCAACTTTTTTATATAAATTTTTCAAAAATATGCCAATTTTGTCTCTTCTGGCTTCTAGAAAGTTATATTTTCTATCAAATGTCTTTACTGACAACGAGCCGGGCCGGCTGGTTGTTATCAGTATGAGAAAATTGATAATCCGTCATTATACCCGCTTCATCGTCTTATCTCTCTTTCTTCTATCTTTCTCATCAGGATATACATTTCCGATGGCTGTAGTCACACTAGTCACCTATCATTTACGCCGGTCGTCCATCTGCGAATTAAACGCGCGGCGTAAGATGTATGTATAAGACGAAAGGTCGTCTCTGATCGGGCAAAGAATTTATTTCTTTCCCAGCTGATTTATATCAGGGTTTTTATCGAAGCTAAAGAACACATTACGAAGAGGATTTATACGCTGATGAGAAAAAGAAAGGTGTTTCTAGGTTGACTATTTGGCTGGTTTTGCGTGGTGCGACTGCGTGCGATCTTTAATCAGTGTCGCGTTGACTTCCAACGGTCGAGGATACATATCATGTTTTCGTTGGATAATTTATTAGAAAAGGTTTATTTGATGGCTGAAAATCTTAATATATTTTAACATGTACATGCGACGTTTGATAACAGTGATCGATATTTGCCGCGAAAGAACTTCGTCTATCAGTAAACATATTGGGGTGAGTTTGATATCAAATATCTCTTCGACGTTATCGTTAATTGACACCCGTTACTTTTTCATGGTTTTGTAATATTTTTAAGAGAATTTTTTCACACATTCACAACAATTCAATATATTAAAATATAAACGAGAAAATATTTTGATGTCATTAATCATAATTAAGGAATCATTATTGACAAAACCAGTTATTACATACTCCATTTCTATTTAGACATTATCGCAATGTATCAGATTTATACGATTTCCGACATTGTATTTAATCCGCGACCTAATAAAGTAATCGAATTTCGTCAATTCGAGATTCGGTTTTGCGAAGATTCGTAAGGACAAAATTATCTCGTGGATTTGATACACTCAATTAATACTCAGACTAATTGAACGTCTGCTGTATTCAATCAAGACGTCTCCAGCCGAGATTCGTCTCAATTACGCGCGAAAGTTTCTTGCGTGTCATTAAGTCCGATCTCGGATCATTTCGCGTGCCCTGCGAGCGGACAGTAACCCTATATAATGACACATAGGGTATACGTATTATATAGAGTATTACGTACTTGCATCTGATATTTGTGTATCATTCATTTATAAAGTGAATTCATGATTAATATTAATGACACTGAATAAGATAATTTTTAAATATAAAATATCTAAATACACACATGACACATACATGTATTTAATTACTATCGAGTTAATCAAGTAATTCCGAAAGTCGCAGTGGCAACATTTTAATTTTAATTCTCTTTAAGTCGAATCCTAAAACCGACTTTTTTGAGAAAAAAAAATATCGAGGGAGATTTATTCCGTTTTCTATCAAATGTCTTTGCTGACAACAAGCCGGGCCGGCTGGTTGTTATCAGTATGAGAAAATTGATAATCTGTCTAATTTTTTTTTATTATATACATAAATTTGTATATAAATTTTAAGTTAAAAGTATGAGATTAGGTGAAAAGTACATTTTGCTTACTTGATAAATATATAATTAATAATAACAAAATGCATAAAAGAATATAAGTTAAATTAATTATTATATTACGAGGACAGACGCAGTGAGTAAATGTCATTGTCGCAAGTAAATGTCAATGACGCATGTCCTATCGACTTCTTCGAACAATGCATTGCGCTACATCTCGTAAGAAAAAAAATCGTTTTATTTCTTTCTTTTATTTATTGCAATGTAAATTTTGTCAGTGTACCTTAATCTCTCTCTCTCTCTCTCTCTCTCTCTCTCTCTCTCTCTCTCTCTCTCTCTTTTTCTCTTTCTCTCTTTCTCTCTTTCTCTTTTTCTCTCTCTAAATCGAACGTTTACACTTTGATAACTCGCCGGTCGAAGCGGTGTGCGTCTCGTTCTCGCCGCTCCGGTTGTACTGTAACGATTCACTAACGGAATTCGGTATGGAACACGATCCACAGGCCAGGTCGCGCAAGTGAAATATCGGGTCACGTACAAGCAACTTTGTTGTTGTAACGCGAAACGATGTATGCGCGTACGAGAATTGAGCGGTATGGAGCCGCGGACAGACGTCCGGCGAGACGAGATCTCGCCGTGTCTGACTAAGCCGAGCGTTTACTACTTGCCGATCGCTTTCACGAACATTATTAAGCTTGCTACTTCCGCGGACACCGGATACGCATTCGTTCAGCGAGTAGTTAATTGATACATCGGTAATATTTTAGCGGGCGTATCGACAATACGCGCGTTTTATTAATTTTAAAAGTTTCACGTTTATATTTTCTCTTTAAAATACCCGAGGTCGAATGGACTCCCTAAATTGCGGATTTCTGTTGTTCCACTGATTGAAAATTTGAAAAGTCAAGGAATCCTCTCACGATGACCTACTTTCGGACTCCATATCTACAGCTATCGACCATAGACAACGTCTAAAACCGGGACAGCGCGACTCGACCCAATTTCGTAGGGTTGTATACGCTTGCGTGTGTTGCCGAATCGATATTATCCCTGACGACGGGCAACTATACGACCGTACGTTTTTGACACGTGAAACGAAAATGAGGGGTGAGAAGGAAAGAGCTTTACCTTTACCTTTCCCTTTTTCTTTCCAGCAGATATTGCTTATTTTCCACAATTTGTGAGAAATATGAAAAATATATACATGCGTTTATACAAACACAATCTGAAAAAAAGTAATAAAAATTTAAAAGAAGCAGTAAAATTAAAATTTGTTATTTTGAAATATATATATAAATAAGAATGCGTTGAATTTCAAAACTTGAACAATATTTTTTACACAACAGAATGTTAAAAATTATATGAATCTTGCAATAACGTTGATTGTTTTTTCTCAATTTATATTTTTTATTGACTTATTTTGCTTAGATTTTTATTAGACAATGTTATTACGTTTGTAGATTATATCTATTTTGAAGAGTAATAAATTCTGGTATCGTTTGTGATATTAAATTCAGTTATCAATATCTTCTAATGTCGTTCATTAAAATGCGTACACGTATACCATGCCATGAGTGGCATGAATCACGACAACTTGTTAGGAAGATAATGCCTCTCTCTATCAACTTCTTCCCGGGAAGCGTTGTGTCCCCTGACCTCCTCTTACTGCTTCTCGGATTGGATCTCATTCTTTCTTATCGTATCACCAGCGGAGCGGATATAACCGAGCGCCATACAAGTTCATTTCGAGAAGAAGGAACGATTACGTAATGACGCAGCCAGTTAGGGATATCGAAGCGAGCCGCTGTAGCGAATAAATCACGTTAATTATTATTTTCCGAAATGCTTAAGGAGGCTGGCTTTAGTCTCGCTTCGACTTCTAACGCGGAGTATCTTGTTTAGCAAACACTGTTACTTTTACCGAGCAATCTGTTCGGTATATTACGCTGCTACCTACACCTACACGCGATCCACAAGGTGAGCGATAGCGAATTATCAGATTCCCTCGCGGTATTGCAAATCAATTGTTCACCCAAAAATGGTGCGCGAATTTGCGTTGAATTGATTTACGGCGGCTGGCCTTCAACCCTCGCGTCGTAATTATGGTTCGTGTCAACGTACTTTGAAGAGTTAGGAAACGAGGCGCGATAAAACTAAAGAGATATATAAAACAATTGCATATATAATAATTATTATTACATTCAAGTATCATATATATTTTCATATATAATTTCATGTATAACAATTAATTGTACATGGTACATAAATATATACTTTTTTCGCGTATTAACGATTTTCATGTTCGTAGCATTCTTGTAGCCCCCGCAAAGTACGAAACTTTTATCCCAAATTGTATCGAGAAGCATATCGCGTGCTAAACGTCGAAGGAAGAGGTATAACCGGGCGCGACAACATTTATCAATTCGAAAAACTGCCGCATGCCGGCGTAACCGCATGCTTTACGAGGGGCATTAGGTAGGTCAGTCAGAGAGTAGTAGTTCACTCCCGAAAGTCGATCTTTAGCTATTTTCGTGAGTCCCCCGTGTTTATCTAGGTCACGGGCACTCTTGGCAGAGAGAAAGAACCCGTTCTTCCCTCCGAGAGCTAATGCGCGGGGGACAAGACGGACACATTTCGGCTCGAGACTCGGATTACACGCTGGACAGAACGAGAAATCGATTTATCGATGGACGATCACGGCAGGACTTTTTTCTCGATCCGCGGAGATGGGAGCGCGGAGGAGAGGAGGAATGTCTAATATTTTTTTTTTTTATTCCCACCGTGATGGCAAAAGCGCCGGGACATACGCCAGGCGTCTGCGCGTCGCGCGTGCCGCGCTATGTATAGACGGTGATACGCCTGGGGCATCGGTTCCTTCGTGCGAATTATATGTATGCTCATTGCAGGGCCGGTCATCGGCCAAAGCGCACGTTGCTTCTATCACGGCGCGTGCTAAAAACGATTCTTCGTCGATGGGGGCGAGTCACGCGAGTGCGCGAGTTCTGAAAAAATTAAATATTATTCCGGAAGGGAATTCACACTTCTCTCTCTGTCTCCTCGGTGGTGTTTATACACTTTGCGGTGCATACTCGTGGGGATTACGGCGACTCGAGGCCGATTGAAATTGATAACGCTTTACGGTTGCGATAAGTTGCGTAAAGAATCCTATAATTTGAAACTTATTAACTTTGAAATAAATATACGATTCGAGAATCATCTTTTTTTTTTAAATCGAGGGTGCGTGAAAATCGAATACGTTAAACGTCTAATGGAGAAGTGCAGTTTATCAGCTGTTGATTGGTTGTCAAACGTTAAATTTAAACGTGTCTTTTGATGAATCGACGCGAGTACAGGGAAGCATTACAACTGGCAACGATTTAACGAGGTAATCAAATTTATTTGCGCATTATAGGAAATGATTGAGAAATCTCCTCGACGTTGCTTAGTTTTATCTTACAAAAGTCTAGCGTGTCTAGAGTTTGCCAAAATATAAAGTAAAATTCAAATATCAAATACTAAAAAGTTGCAGTAAGGAATGATTAGTTTTAAAATCTCTTCTTTGAGCAAATAACGATTCCGGATTCTGTCCGTCGTTAAAATTAAACACGGCAGAAGCTCGCGATGGTTTTGCACAGCTGCCGGAAACTACGATATTTGTATTTACGACTGTTTCACGTTGTTCGCGAGCTAAAGTTAGAATTTTTATCTATTCGAGTAATATATATTTTTGAGCTAAACAGTAAATACTATACTTGGAGGTCGAGAAATGCATAAGTATTCTGAATATATTACATACATAGAGCGCTATCGCGTTTCTAAGGTGATTTCCGTGAGTTTCCTCGGTCGAAACTATTCCTGCGGTCACGATTTCGACTCGTTATAATTTTCTTAATGGCTATCAGAGCAGCTTAGGCACTATCAGAGCAACCGTTTGTCGGGCCCGAAATGGCACACGCGCTCGTGTTTGCGTTCGCAGAAATATTGTAAATTTCGGCGTAACATAAAACGGCAGCGCTAAAAGCCCAGCGACGAATAAACGTTTGCTTTCGCGCGATTATCTTCACGGACTGACGACCGAGAAAACACAGATCGTTTAATTGCAGATAATTATCTTTAAAGCTTACGTTAATTGAATGCCGTATTTTCATTGTGTCTCGACATGTCGTGGCCGTAAACCGAATTAGAAGAAAAACCATCAAGGAAACTAAATGATTAAAAGAGCGAAAGATCGGAGAGAAGGAAGAAATAACGATTTGATAAAATAAAATTTGAATCTCTTGTACGAAAATGTCAGAGTAATTGTATTCTCTGCGATCATTTGTTTATATTATTTTTATACATGTAACGTGTGTACAATAATTACAAATTCATATTTAAGAATAGAGTCGGATTGAGATATATCTTTTAAAATAAATCATTGATTATTATTAATCGTGCGTACAGATGTATACAAACATCGTCTTAAATCCTTTCTTTTTTCGACTCGCGACATTCCTTTCTTTCCTCGAGTTTACGATCCCTATCGATCCGATACGCTCATAATTCCGGAAAATCGTATCGCATGGAAGTTACGTATATTCTCGACGCCGGATAAACGTGACGCATCGATTATTTCGCATTCTCGGCAAGTGAAATGTGAACGATACTTTCCGAATTCTGGATAATTGCCTGAAGTTTGGTAGACTTGAATTTTAATTAAAAAAAAAACCTTCACGAAATATAATTTTCCTTTATGGACGGTTTTATCTAATACGTTCTAGATATTCTCAAATATTTGCGTTTCTTTAATCATTAAGAGCGGGATTCATGTAGAATTAAAAATTTAAGTTAAATGCGAGAATCCAATAAGTTCATAATTTCCATAAATGGACTGTTAGCTATATTTTGAGTCGCAAAACTCTCGAATTATCAACTTGCGTCGAATATTTTAATTTGTTTAACTTGACATTACTTCGGAATTTGATCGCGAAGCGATGGCACGAAATCTAACCGTTATGACGCAATGCAAATGGTGGTTCCGGTCGCGAAGGCACACGACGGAACTCGGTGAAGCCTGCGCGGTGCTTGCGAAAGCAATAAAATCGTTACGTGTAGCTTGCCGATATCATGGGGTAGATCTGCCTGACGACGGGTCATAAACCCTCTTTCCCTCCTCCGAGTGAGGGCGAGCTACTGGCAGAGAATGTAGATACCTGGCCCCAAACTGTACACGAGACAGGGAGTATTGATCAAGCCGACGCGACGCGGCCGCGGCCATCTTTAGCGGAGAGAGGAAATTATTCGCGAAATTGACGCGCACTTATTTTCACCCCCGACACGACAAACTGCACGTAACAATCCCACACGCACGATTCTACGTTGTAATGAGAATAATTTGAAACAAAAAACAATGTGTGACTTACCTACCAAAATCATTAAAAATAATATTAATAATAATGATTTAAAAATAATATTAATAATTATTAATAAAATAATGATTATTATTTAAAATAACTTAAAAAAGAGTGTTTTTCTTCTATTTAAACTAATTTTATAAATTTTACTATTTTTTTGTAAACATACAACGTTGTTTGTTGGTCGTTATATATTAAGAATAATAATATATTAATAATATATAGTTTTAATAATAATATATAGTTTTAATAATCACATTAATAATGTGTTAACTTTTCTCTCTTTTTTTTCTTGTTTATTATGCGAGCAAACAAAATGTAATTTTTCAAATCGTCGCTTAACATTTTAGATTTATATCTCATTCGCGAATCTAGATCACAGTTCAATTATCTCAATTCATCTAACTTCATCGAACGTAAGAATATAAGAAATTTTTTTATTTTTTATTTTTATTTTTCTTAACAATTTTGCATTTTTATTAATAAATTAATTTATTTAATTTTGATTTCTTTATCCAACTCTATTTAAGCTCGACTTTAAAGAAGTATTTTGGTTTGAAAGGTCGAACAAAAGTATTTTTATAGAAATTTTTTGAAGGAAAACAAAAAAAGTAAATAACGTTAAACTTTGCATGTTTTTATAGCTTTATTTTAAGAATTTATTTTTATTTTCTAATAATAAGTAAAAAATGCTTTTTTTATGGTATATCCTGATCACCAGGAGCTCGCAAAAGAATGCATATATAGACAGTGTAAATGATTCTAACTGTTATAGGTATCTGAAACGCAAAAACCAAAAATTTTATTATTCGGGAGAAGTGTGGCTATTGTCTGAACTAGAATTAAACTAATATTTCCATTCTAGGCAAAATGACGGCCTTTTTATTGAAAACATTGCAGTTTCTCTTCAAAATTTTGTTAATATTTTATTTTTAAAAAGAACTAATAAACATATATTTATTCTAGCTTAGACGATAACCACATTTCTCCTGAATAAGAAAATTTTTGGTTTTTGCATTTCAGATACCTAGAACAGCTAAAATTATTTCCACCATCTATATATATGGTTTTTTTGCGAGCTCTTAGTAACCGGGATATAACATAAAAAAGAAGAACGTTTTTGTTACTTAGAAAATAAAAATATATTCGTAAAATAAGGCTATATAAAAGAACGTGTTAAGTTTAATGCTTAATTTTTTTTCGTTACCTTACAAAAAGTTCTTGAATACCTTTTTTACGACCTTTCAAACCAAAGTAATACCCTCTTAAGGGCTCGAGAAATTAGCTTTAAGGGAACTGGAGGGTCAGATTACCGGAAAATTATGCTTGTGTTTGACAATATTTTGTAATAAACTGAATAATAAACGTGCGAAAGTGAAATTTTGAGGTATATTTATACAACATGTAAAGAGTAGAAAAAAAATATTTTTTATTAACAAATACTTATATAAATATACGATATATATGGCTGACGATACATACTCCGCTTTTTTCCGAGGTCGTGATTTTGCAATATCTCGGCTCTTGGTGGTTTGATCAGGACGAATTTTTTTTAGCTAGAAATCTTGAGGAGGTTTATCATTATCCGATAAACCATTACAAGAAAAATTGAATAAAAATTAACATAATAGCAGCTATTATATTTTTAAAAATTCAAATTTTTTAGTCTCTTTACAATAAAAAAATATCTCGAAATAAAATATTTTTACGGAGTTGTCCTTGGTTCACCTGAGAGCCAGATGAACAAACATTATTGCTTTAAAATTTCAAATTGATACAAAACTTAGTTTCAGAAAAATTACTGTGAAAAGTTGAAAAATAAAATTTGGAGAAAGATGCGTTTAAAGTTTAAGTGCGGTTTATACATCAATAATGATACCTACATTAATTATGATACTTACTTTAATCAATGATATATACTTACTAAAACTTTAATGATACTTACTTTATACAAAGGAGTGTTAGTAGTACTTTCAAAAAATAAGATTTAAAAAAATTGAAAATCTGATTCTCCAGTCGCCTTAAGGGGATCCTGCAGTGACTGGTGAACTTCCTTGATGTCGATGATGTCAACCTTTCTAATTTTGTTTTCCCTATATCTGTCTTTGTCTAACAAAATGACATCTGTCCTTTTTTCGATTGCTCGCCATCTTACGCAAGATCCGGCAACTACTGTTGCTGCTCTTCTTGTCATTTGCATCCGTATTTGCATTACTAAAATAATTATTAGATGGATCTTTTTTTGTACGCATTGAATCTTACTTCTACTTACACGATATTATTCCTACATGTTTTCCCAAGGGTGGATGATAAACATTATGTACGTATAAACTGTAGAATTTTTGTTTTAAGCAAATATTGTCGTCAGGTGACAGCTGTGTATGTGCCCCAATAAGTAATATTTTTAATTTTTTGGTGCTTTTGATATAAAATCGCGTTTTCCACCCTAGATTTTTGTGCGGACTTTAATTCTAGACCAAAAACTTGCAATTCTGTAAAGCCAATTAAAAGATCCATTGATTAACGATAATGTCGGTAAATCATTATACGGCTGCAGGATCCCCTTAATGCGAGTGACTATTTTTCCTAAGAATCTTTTTCCGACACTCGAGACTGGCCACTCGTTCTACGAGCGTAAAATTCAAGTCAAGCGCGGAAATCGGTGTAAGACCGGCATAGTTCTAGAAAACTGACTCGAGTAACTCGACACGCGCTCGTTACCCACGCGCGGTGTTTTCTCAGAGCGTCACGCACGATCTCTCCCGCGGAAGGTGTGAGTCAGATTATGAAAATTTATCGAGCGCGTCGTTTATAAACGCCAGATGAACGTTTAAACGCTAACGACACGTTTGAGGCAAATCGACTCGGACGGGAGCGAGCCCGCGGCTGACTTGCGGCATCGCGTTTATTTACCGTATATGCATAACGATGCGCGGAGCACATACAGCTCTCTGTCCTCGTCGCGCTTGTCCACCGCCGTAACTCCCGCACAGATGAATGAATCTCCGACGATCGTGAACGTAAATCTTTCCGAGAAGCGATCCATAATACATCTCATGAATTCTTGTCTCGCGCATCGATCGCGCATACATGCCATGCGATTGTTGTCGATAATATACGTTCTTTAAAGCATACGCCGACATATTGTCCCGGGGGACAAATGTACCACTTGTCTCAATTTCTAATTTGCAATCTAATCGAGATATTTTTCGCTTACAAAACAGCCCGCGATGCATGGACTGCTCGTTTATAACGGACATGGGGAGATGTGGTTTCTACAGATAACGATAAATTGAATTAACGCGCGAATTTAATCGACGAATCGATCGGTAAAATATAATTCCTTTCTTTCTTTCTTTCTTTTAATATTTGTTCTTCGACATTGTCGTGAGAATGACGACGATCGCAATCGTGGTCTTACTCAATATTGAGTGGGAACAACGTGGCTACATCACTCCAGTCGTGTCTGACATGCTGATTTAATTCGCGGGTACGTTGCCACAATTTTAATAATAGCAATGTTCGGTAACGTATTCCGCGGACACGTGCGCGCGTGAGTAATAAGTTTATGCACCGGGTATTGCGTGCTCAAGCGGGACATACGAGCCGCTTCGGCAACCTGATTCATTCACGCACGATAAATAATAAAAAAATCTCAGTTAATACCTAACCGATTCGGCATAAGAATACTTTCGTTCGATCCGTCATTCGACTGTGCAAACATCGCGTGTGCGCCGCGAGACTTATACGGATGACACCTCTCCGGTATAAGATACTATTGTTACAAACTTGCTGGCTGGATCCCGCAGCTTCGCAGCTGCGGATTGCGATATCATAATATTGTGTCGTCGACGATTGTTATTTGAATGAGACGTTTGCGATTCCAAACTCCTTCAAACACATGATTTTTTTAACGACTTTATCTATTTATTATCCAATTTGACGTTGATTGTTTTAAATGGAAAAGTTTTGCTAAAGTATATAAAAATTAGGCCAAATTTGAAGATAATTATGTTAAACTATCAAAATATTTAGAACGCTTAAGCAGGATGATAATTATACTAGCTGCCAAAAGAACTTGACGTTCTAGCAATCAACTTATGAGCATCCAATACAATTATTTAGATTCAACATAATTTAGTTTCATATCTATATATCTGATCTAATTTTTAAATAATTTAACAGAACCATGATCTTTCCGTTGAACGAAATTGATGGATTAATAAAATGATATTTGTAACTCTGATAGAATCTGATAAAAGTTTGCAGACGTATATCGATTGTGTAGCGCATTTTAAATAAACTGGTTGTCAACAAAGAACAGGCGCTACAAAAATAAATGTTACGAAATGAAACGAATGATAATGTTAACGCACAGTTTGTAATTTATTTTATGCTGTTGCGCCGCACGGCGGAACACCGCGTGTCTTTTCGCATGTTTGTTTTACAATTATGGCGACGGCGACGGGTGCCGTCGTCTTTCGATGCGCGACGGTAATTATTCGCGACCTCGCAAAATTATCGTCGCAGATAAAGAGTGCCCGCGGTAATTTTCATCGGTTATCGAACGCGTACATTGGCGAGAAACGTCGGGGAAACGTTGCTCTTTCCTATGTAAATTAACCATTCGTGTTGCCGCGCGCGCGGCCTTACTCCACTTTTTATCGTGCGATCGTACTCGACTCTTAAACATTCGAGCGCTTCCCAGCGGCACGTGAGTCACAGACTCGAACGGTATTAAAGTGACACGTGACGCGGTCTCTGCAAGCGATAATACCGCAAAAACTTGCGATACGCTTGGATCAGCATTGGTATTTAAACTGTATTTAAACATAGAACTGTAATACTAAATATAATAACTTCACTTGATGAGACTACATTTTCTTCATAATTTTATAAAAAAATTATCCCCTACAATGTTAAATATTAAAGAATAAAGTTTAAATCAATACCTTGTGTTAGATAACATTTTATTATGTAACTACCATGTAGAGATTGTGCGAACTATTTGAATTCAAATTTCTATGATTCGAATCCGAACTGTTCGAAAATTTTGAATCTAGATAGTTCGAATACGAATCATATATCTAATATTGCCAAATTTATGAAATCATATATTCCGTTAATAAGCAAAAGTACAGTCATGTTAATGTGCGTGCATTCAATATTATAAAACCGCTCATTAAGAGGCGAAGTAGCGGTAAAAAAATTCATTTCTTATTTTTGACGTGCTCTATGAAACTCTATCAAATTATAAGTATAAGTTTGAATATGCGTAAAAATTAGTGAGCTAAGAGTATTGATAATAAAATAAACTATATTAATTTATTTTAATTTCTATGTATGCAATTGGATAATGTTAATGGATACTACATTAGAGTATTTTAATAATTAATCTATATGAATTTTTGCCTAATTGTTTCGCAGTTACTGCGACATTAAATAAAATATATTTTATTAGTTTTATATTAAATATTTAAATATATTTTTTGGTTTAAAAGAATTTATGTTATATAACCAATATAATTTTTTTAACAGAAAAGTATATGTTTGTTCTGCCAATAAGTGATTAACGAGAAAAATTCTATTTTTAATCGACAACGTTTGGCTATATCAGTGTCGTGACAATTCGACCATTGGTTTTGGTCAAATTAATCGTCAAGACTTTTCGACCATGAGTTTTGGTCTTTTCTAAATTGATATAATCTTTGATACTTATATATAAGCATCTCATTTTTATTAAATAAATTAATTTAGAAAAGACCAAAACCAATGGTCGAATTGTCACGACACTGATAGCCAAACGTTGTCGATTAAAAATAGAGTTTTTCTCATTATTTTTTACATTAAAATATTCTCCTATCATTTACGTGTTAAAATTCAATAATAATTATATATTGTTATAATTGAAATTTATATTCCAACAATTCGATTCAAAATCATTCGATTCGCTTCAATTCGACATGAAAAAATCCTTGATTCCGCGCACATCTCTACTCTACCATGTGTGTCGAAATTTATTATTTTTATACAAAATAGTATTATTTTAATCCTTTACTGGTTTAGTTAAATTAACGATATATTGAATAGGAGCAGTAGCCTATAGGAACGGTTAAAAATGACAATACTGTGAATTTAACAGTGTAATTGCACTTTGGGACACAGAGTTTGCCACATAAAAATTGAGAAGTCCATGCTGTGCTGTACTAAAGATTATTACTGTATTACACCGCTATATAAATCACCGTAGCGGCAATTAAATTGACCAGTGATGCGTGATGCGCACGATTACATCGAATTAGTCACCACGGAAAAATTTGCGTGACAATTTTCCGGTATCGCGGAAGCGTATCCTGCCCGCTTCGGTTTTCTTTCATCTTCAACATCTTTCTGTTTCACTTCTACTTGCCTCTCCTCTCTCACTTTCTCTTTCTGTATCCGTCTCTCTCACCTTTCACTGCTCACCGCATCCGTCGTCACGCTTCCTGGTCCGCCTTCGAACGATATGGGGAAAAAATGGATAAAGTCGTTACTCGAGAATCGCCTCGGTGCACGGTGTCGTATTTTTCTAGGTCAAATGCGAGTTTTCTTCCCGCGGGGGAAGGCTGGGGGGGACGGGAGGTTGGAGTAGGAGCAAGTAGGAGCGCGGCGGCAGGATGATGAGTCACGTGGTTTCATTTATTTCGCAGATATACCGGATATATCGGCGGTCGCGTCATTTTGAAGCGACAAAAGCGCGGCGTCTTATCCGCGACCGGTTCACTTGTCGATCGTCGTTCGCCAGCTCGTTGTCTCTCCGGCTCGATCTATACATATATCTCTTTATCTCGAGATAGAGAGAGGGAGAGCTCGGCTTCGCCGAGACGCGGTTTCTCACGCGCGGACTGGATCGTCGTGTTGTTAAGATCGATCAAGACGGATCGCCCTCGAGAGATTGCACGTTCATTTAAACGTTCATCAGATCTCCGGAGTTTCCAGTTACGTACAGTGCAAGCCGATGGAGAAGTTACGTGCGTTCGTCCTCCGCGAGAAGTGCGCGAAGACGCGGAACGACGGCGGCGATCACGACACGGCCACGCGTTTGTTGATCGATAATGAGGATTACGTGAAAACGAGGAGGAGTCGCGTGTCAGGTAAAAGCAATAAGTTCTCAGATAATCAAATCGAAAACAAAAATTTTTTGATGTATCTGCGATGGTAGAATACTAATGGTAGAATATTACGAAATGTAATAGAATGCGGCAAAAACTCAGAGATCTGCATAATCGTTTAAATGAAATGTTTCCACTGAGCTTGGTTTCTGCTGTCAATCTGTTGTCAGATTATGTCAGCAGATTCTACCAATAGGATACAAACTTAATACGCGGACACAGATAATCCGCTAATCTGAAATATCTAATTGAATCTGCTACCACTCTAGTTAGCTTATTGATACTGCTAACATATTTTGCTTACTAAGAATTAATAACTGGAGCAATTAAATTTGACGAAATCTCACATATTATAACAAACTGATTTCATTTTTTATAGTGACTTTTATCAGCAAGAAAATAAAGAAAAGCCGAGCTGCATTTAAATTAAAATCACATCATAAATAAAAAAATACAGTTAATTCAAGATAAAAAAATAATTAAAAGGATTTTGATCTTGCAATCATAAATCATAAATATAATAACCCTTTGTCATGGTTCACATTTTTATTTGATTGAAAAGAATTCTTAATAATTCTATGTTAAAATAAAAATTCTAAATTATAAAAAAAAATCAATATCTATATCAGTCTCTTAAATGTATATTATAAATTAAGTTTAATCATAAAAGATTAGAAAAATTGTGTTGATCTTCTGTGCATTTTTCTCTTTTTCAAGTTGATAAATTTATATAGTGACTGCATTCTTTTTCTTTCTTTCTTTTCAAATATTGTTCTCAAAATGGCAGTATAATTCCAATTCGTCAGCGTCTCCTGATTTTTTCGTCATCGCAGATGTTACGTTCCACAGCTTATATCTCACGTATTTATGATTTCACGTATTCCTAAAATTTTTAACAAAACAATTTTTCCAGACAAATGTTAAAAACTAAACCCTAATAAATCTAAGTCCTACTATCTGTTTAACAATAAACTTATCTTTTTCGAGTCATAAAAGCCAGTTTTATCCTAATAGATCATATGCCTTCTGTTTTACTTGTTTTATTTTTTTTTTAAGAAGCCACGCCAATCATTACTTCCGTTGTATTATTGGTAATATATCAACGGAAATTCAATCAATTCTTACAGCGAAATCAAGCTTTCAATCAAGCAAAAATTTCTCTTAAACTAAGAGTTAGTTCTCAGTCCGTTACTCGAAGCGTTAGGGCTGGTTTATAATAGCCGTAACCGTTGATTTAAGCCGTAATCTTTAAGAAATTGACCAATCACAGTCGATTATTCTTCTCACATTCGACTGTGATTGGTCAATTTCTTAAAGATTACGGCTTAAATCAACGGTCACGGCTATTATAAATCAACCCTTACTCCTTCGACTCATACCACTTGCTCTAGGTATGCCGGTATGCTAAATAAAGTCTTGTATGAAGACAATTGTCTATACCTTTCATTTATTTATTTTTTATTTTATTGAAGATTTTATTTTATTAAGAGGACAATTATCTTTTATTTATTTATTCTTTATTCTATTAAAAGATTATGTCGCATCTTGCATGTAACACAATTTCTTCATCATCCGCTTAGCGAAATCCTGTCGTGATCGCGAGGACCCAGAGAGCGGTCGCTAAAAGCCTCGAGATGCGCTATTCGTCAATATCAGACGCCGGTATCTTTGACGGCATCCGTTCCCTGAATTCAACAGCGTTTACATCGCCGACGCGATGACCGCGTCAAGGTTTCCGCGATACGGCGCCGACTCCACCATTGACGCGGTATTTTTTCGCACATTCGCCATTGTGAGGGCACGCAGCTGCGTGTTGCGCGGTGCCACGTGTGGCGATTCAATTCGCACGTTTCTGCATTGTCGTTCCCTCAGTATTACCAGACCGTCCTCATCGCTGTCCCCGCTATATCGCCCTCGGGATGCGACCGATCGATCATGCCTACGCGCAACGTCGACGAGATCGAATTATTAACCCTATTCGCTCCAACCATGCCTTTCGTGTCCCACGAATTTCTAACAGTCGTTTGTTCCGGAAAACAAATGATCGTGGGAGAATCCCCTCCACGCCGGAAAAAAGTTATTGTGGCAGGGAACCTCAGGTAAAAATTTCAAAGTCCTAGCTCATTTACTCTCGAAACGGGGAACAATCAAAATCTCGGTGGGACATGAAAGTGCATGGTTGGAGGATTACGTCAGTGTTGTGTGAAAGGTAAATGAGCATTTTTTTCGATAAAAATGTATTTTTGTGTATTATTTAACCGTATTTAAAATATTTTTGTCGTTAAAAAAGAAATTTAACATTCCACAGAGGTCTATTTTGGCTCAGAGGCAGGTGGAAGAGGTGGGGAGGAGCTACGATTATATAAAAAAAATTAATTTTTTTACATAAAAAATATCTGTCACACTTCAAATTCGCCTTTTCTTATTCAGAAATTCTTTTTCTAGCATTCTTTAAGTCCTTAAAGTCCTTCTGTACCATTTAAAAATTACCAAATTTGCGGCGACGAAATTAAGTATTCCTATTTAATTAATAATTATCTCATATTTTTTTTCTCATTTGCACTACTTTTAGCTTTAATTTGCGTTTTGGTTCATTAAGCTTCGTCAATTTGTTCGTGAGTTATGATTTTTTAAGTAAAACGAGTCGTAACGTGTGTCTGTCAACATATAATTGTTGTAAACAAATATTTAAATAAATGATTTTCAAATGTTCTTTACATTGATTTTTAGTCGAAGGTACAAAGATATTATAATAATTTTTGGGGAATTTTTCAAAGCTATTAACATCATAAAAAACACGTGGGACTCGAAAGTGCATGGTTGGAGGATTATTAGGGCGAAAAAAACGTTGGAGTGAATAGGGTTAATAGACGTTTGCATACGCGCGGCGGAATACTCGTGCGGAATACTCGGATTACTGCATGCTCGTAAATGTCGGCTTTACGGCGCTCCTCTAATTGCGCGTGTGGAGAACCTTCGCAGCTCGGCTGCTTTGTCATAACGCAGAGCCTGCAGTTGCAATGAAAAAGAGAGAGAGAGAGAGAGGGAGACGCAGTATGGAAAACTTATGTTGGCCATGTTAAACGATATTCCATCATCTCATTAAATATTCGTCGAATATTTGTTGTCACATTTGTTTCGGAATAAAATGTACCTGCACTATTATCTAGCTTTGCACGATGGCTACATGCTTAACTCTTCTTGCTTCGAGAGTAATACGAACTAGAACTGTGAAATATGCAACGAGAATAAAAACACTTATTGTTAGTATCTTCTTCTAATTCTGAAATAAAGATTCTTTTGCGAGAATACTACGTTTCATACTTATTTCTTTTTAACGAATACTTCCTTGGATGTTTGTTTATAACGAACTATCTCGGTACAGAAAATAAAAATGTTTTGACAAATATAATTTTGATAACATTTTACTTTTTTAAAAATCAAATAAAATTATAATCGGCCAGAGATTAGTTTCAGAGAGAGAAATACATTAGATATATATATTATTAAACAATTAACAACTACAGGATGGAATTTTGTGGAGGAAACTTCAGATTTTTTTGAATCCGAAGTTGCGTTATTCTCAAATATAAATTACGGCGTACAAATTATTGCGAAAAGAAGCGCGAGCCGCGTGTGAGTAAAGTCGATTACGACTTGTTACGAAATCGATCCGCGGAAGAGATTATCATTATCGGCTCAAGACTTGTCACGGATATATGTTCGTTCTATTCGTTTTAATTTACGGTGCGTCAGTTCTTTTCTTCATTTCTCATTCCATTTCAATATGTTAGCGTTTCAATTATATTTTCAATTGAAATTATTAGAGCTTGACGAAAGAAAGCGAAAGGAGACAAAAAGTCCAATCAAAGATTTAAGATGTATGCGACACACACACACACACATATATTTTTTGGTCTATTTATATAATTATTATGTAATATGTATATTTATATTTATACATTTACATAATTATTATGTATATATTTGTACATCAAGAAACATGATATAGTGTCTCGCGCCAAGTGTAATGTACGCGTAGCAAGACACAAACCATGTATCTATACGCGAGCCGACGAATTGAGAGATTCTTGCAATTAGATTATCGAATTTTAATAACGGCTAAACCGATCAAGTCCTGAGTAGACTTCAATCGAGTAGAAGTCAATCGATAGCTTGGGTTCGGGTTATGTAATACTAATAAGTGTCTTTATTTTTTCGCTACTCTCTAAAGTAGAATCAGTGAAAATATCACTAATTGAAACAGTAAAATAAGATTTCACTGAGAATCAGTGAGTATTTCACTGAACTTCAGTAGAATGTTTACTTTTTGTTTCTTTATCTTATATTTCACTGATTATGGTCAGTGAAAGTAAGATGTTACTGTAAAATCAGTTATCTGTTGGTAATACTGATTGATGGTGCGAGGAAGCGGAACAGGATTGTGATCTCAGTGATGTGTGAAACAGAAAACGAGAACGAAGTATACGTGACGAAGGACGAAGCGGTGCTAAGTGTACATTACGAAGAATGAGAGAAACTGCGGTACTGAGCTAAGCGTGCTTGCGAAAAAGGTGAGGTTAAAAGTAAGTACGAAAGCTTCTTGAGCTGTAGTTCATTTACCGCGGGTACTGACGAGTACGGTGGCCCAACGGGGCGAGGTTATAGTTTGCCAACGGGGCAAAGATGGAGGCCCAACGGGCCCATAGTAAAGCGCGATAAACTAGAGACTGTTTCTCCCTTTTCATTTTCAGCATAAACCACGGCGTATTGAACGAGAGAACTGAACAGCAAACAGAATAAGATTATTAATCTCGGTTATCGTTGGAAACTTATCAAAAGGAGTAAGTCTTTTATTTCTTATTCTTATAATTTCTTAGTATAAATTGATTGTTAAAACACGATTCAAATATTTGAATATTTAATTTCAGAAGAACATTGATAAAGGACAACATGATGATCCTCCTATTTTTCCAAATTCTTCGTTAATACAGATATGGCCTGTAAGTTTGGTTAGTGCATTTAAAAGTTATATATTATATATATTAATACTTGCTAACACACAGAAAAATCTTTTTTTAGGAAGGAACAAACATAGAAGCACAAGCTCGTAAGCTGAAGAATGTTTAATTTTTAATTGACTTCATTCTGTAAACATTTTGTACGTAACAATTACATTGTTGAATAAAAAATTATAACACGTATTAAGGTTATTACTTTTTGTTACTGTTTGCTGGGACATTTACTGATTTAATCAGCTTGCATTACTGATTTTGCTGTTCAAAGTCACTGTTTCCAGTAGTCCAATATTACTGAGTAAAACAGTCAATATTACTGATTTAATCAGTTCACATTACTGATTTTGCTGCTCAAAGTCACTGTTTTAGTAGTATAATATTACTGATTAAAATAGTCAATATTACTGATTTAATCAGCTCACATTACTGATTTTGCTGTTTTAAGTCACTGTTTCTAGTAGTCCAATATTACTGATTGAAACAGATATTAATAACTAATTCTTTCAGTGAAATGTCACTGATTCTAAGTGGTATACTTATAACTGCTTCAATCAGTGACTATTTACTGTTTCTCAGTAAAAATACACTGATTCTCTTTTAGAGAGTACATGGCCTATGAGTGGAGATATTACAATGCAAGGTCCAAATCGGCAAAATGTTTAAGAAACGTCATTATCGTCGTCGTACGATTCGTTTTTTTATCACTAAATATATATGTAAGTATACGCTCATTCATCTTTAATATTACTTTCGCTTCTTGCCTCAATGCCATCAGCTATTTTTCTAGTATCAGTTCTTTAATACTTTTACTGTCGGGATTACTGAAGCTTGACGAAAAAAGCAAAAAGTCGGATCGACGAATCAGAACATGTGTAATATACACAGACAGGGTCGAGAGAAGAAGTTTGAAATTTAGAGGACGTGCATAACGCTCGCTAAACCGAGCTAAAAAATATGTTTAATTAACATAGATTGTAACGTCGACTTGTGCAGTAATTCGCGAGCACTTTTAAAAATGACAATTTGGCTTTAGGTTCGAGTAAAAACGGTCAAGTATGCGGGCAATCTCGAGCAAAGGGGAGATTCTTTTCCGCATCTCCTCCTCAATTGAATCAATTGGCGAACCCCGATGATCGCGTCAGACAATCGCGGTAAGCGGTATTATTGTTGAACCGTAATTAATTTTTTTTTATTTGGCTATTCACGATTCATTTTCTATTCAAACACTTCGAATTCGCCGTAATAATCTGTAAGTACGTAAAGATTCTAATAGCGAACACCCACGTTATCCTCGATGCATATAATTCTTCGGAATATAGTTACACAAAATCACAAACACGAGAGGAAATTAAAAAAAAAATCATCGTTTTTCAAATAAACAATCGAGATATTTCAACCTCTCAAACAATACTAATTTAATATACTCTATTTTCTTTCTAGTTTTTATAACACTTAATATTTTATTGTTAGAAATTCCGACAGATACAGATCAAATTGATATGGCACGGTAATGAATCCAAAGGAGAGTGTCTAATAATTTTCCCCCTTCATCCATCGCGCCAATACATTTCGCTGAAATGCGGGCGAGCGTCTGCAGGAATGGAGGCATTAATTTTAATTGGATTAAAAGGCCAAGCGGGTACCCATTCTAGTTAATTGATCGTTACTCGCGTAGTCGTCAGTTCGCATTAACCCTGTGCCGCTGCAGTTGCCCTAAATTCCATTAAATTCTACCCGCTACCCTCCTCCCCCCTCGCAGCCACACGAATCTCCGTACCAAAACACACTCTTGCCGAATGTATTTTTATGTAGAGCGGCGATACGAGAGGACCCCATGCACACATCTCACGGTTACATAATTATGATTGTTCGATACGCAACATATCGAATTCATAAGGAGCACGACGTACACGCGCTGGCGCATTATGATGCGCGAAATCCGTGAAGTGCAGCCAATCTTCACCCCTCACGCGCGCAATCTCAGACAATGAGAAAAAGAAAACGCATTATCTGGTGGGATGATGTGGCACTTATACCCGGAAAAAAGAGGAATATAAAAAGAGAACAACGAATCGCGTGGGACCAAAGCACCACTGAGTCTCGATAAAGTACCTGTATCTGAGTGAAGTTGAAATGCACTTGTTACCAGTTACACTTGAGTATCTAAATTGAGATTCTATACTATACCACTCTTCCGTTGGATATTGGAATTGTCCGCACCTTGCAACAACGTTTCATTCATTTTCTTGGAATTCCGTGCTATTCTCTGCTCTCCTCTTCCGGCAAAAACGAGTTTCTTTTAAATTATTCTGCTGCACGTGTCTCTTTTGCAACACAAACTTCGCCGAATTTTATAGAAAAGAATACGAGAGGTCGATGCGTCTTCGTCGTTGCAAGGCCACAGTTGTATAATCTCGTTTCATTCATTTTTTCTTGAATTTCATGCTATGCTTGAATTACATGTTCTGTTCTATTCCTTTCGATAGAAATGATTCTCTTTCAAATTATTTCGCCTTGTTCGCCACGACATTCAGCACTCGTGTATGGCTCTTCGTAGCTCTAATTTTAGCAAAACCGTGATTCACTAAACATTCACGGTATTTGCAAGGGTGCTTATATAAACCTGAGACTCCGGTCATATTAAAATCATATTATAAAATATTTTGCATATATATACAATATCTCGCTATAAAATTACTTATATTATGTTATATTATATTATATTATATTATATTAGCAAATATACTATACTTTAAAGTAAACGATATATATTCGTTCATAGTTACATTTAATTTTTTTTCTCTTATTATAATGCGCAATATTAGATAAATATTTAATAGCAAAAACATGTAATGTTTAGCGAATTTTTTATAACTAAAAACATTTTATTTTTTTTATCACAGCAATGTAACTTTCTTATTCTGATGAGATTGCAAAGTCCAAGTACTTTCAGTCACTCCATGTTGCGTTACATCTGCGTTTACAGCAATAATTAAAGAAATGATGTATCGTGACAGCCTTCATTTGTTAATAAGTCGCTACTGTTGCAATAATTCTTTTGTCCTTAGTAAATTCAAGTCTGAATACATTCGTATACGATTTTCCCTCGTACGCGGCGTAACATTTAGCGCAGTTAATACACGCAATCAATAATGTTTACGAGTACCCGTGACGACCGTTTCAATGAGCCACTCCTCAGCTATAAACACACGCCGTACACGTAATTGAAATTCTCATAGCGAGGCAATGCTTAATAATAAGGTACACACATGATGCTCCGCTTTGCCATAAATTACTGCCACGTCAATACCGTGAAATGTGTCGCGTGTAATACGCGACATGCGCGATCCGCGAAATATGAATCTTTATTGATGCAGTTTGGGATACGCGCACTAATTCTGCGGTGGTACATATAACATACTGCTGGAATACACAATGACTCACATTGCACGTTCGCGTTCGCAAATTTCTAAAATGATGCTTGGCATTCTATCTCTTCTCCGCCTAAAAATTCGGGATATAAATAACCCTTAGGCCTGTTCTTTTTAGCTGAACTTCTTTTTACGTTGGAGAAAAAAAAAGAAAAGATAAACCATGCAAGAAGTTCAGCTAAAAAGAACAAGCCTTTATTTCCGTCGTTCTGTTCTCGTTCGCATCCTGACACACGAGCGATGTTCGTTCAATGATTCGCTCGACACGCGGAAAGTCTTCTTTCGTGAGAAGAGAATTCGCACCTTGAAGGATTAAGGATCGCCATTATTCGCATTTCTGATTGTGTATTAACAGCATTTAGTGCACCTTATAGGTATTTTCGCACCGCGTGCCTGCAACGCAACCTTGCGATCTCGATTCTTCAAACGGACTCATTCACTGCCGTCCTGAATATCATTAGAGTCTTCCTGTATCTCGCGTCGTCCGAGAGACCAGCCGACCAGCGAACGTTTAACACACGCGGCAATTATTCATTCGAACCACGACGTCTCGGCCGTTCGACGATTAACACCTTTCGATTCCCCGGATGATTGGGAATGCGCACATCCGCGTTCCTCGCGACGACGGAATCATTCTAACCGGAAGTCTATCAGTGCGAAACGAGGTATAAAAGAGCGTGCTTGTTCTCGCAATGTGCGGCATTGACACTGACCTCATCGTCGATATTAATTCTGGAAAAAAAGAAAAGATTGTTCCGCGGTTTCGACCGACTTGAAAACTCGCGCGCTACCCTGGCGGAAATATTTCTACAAAATTTAAAAAACTATAAAATATAATTGCCAGCATCTATTAAATTCTACATGAATTTAAGAAGTACTACAAAATCCTACATAAAAATGCTAGAATTGGAACACTTTTGTAAATTTTTGTAGTATTCTACAAGTAAACAGATGTTTTAATTTTTTAAGATTTTGTTTCTACTTAAATTTTTAAAATTTGTAGATCTTTGTACTATTTTTTATAAATTGTAGTTTTTCATAAAATACTACTTGCAATAATTTCTTGATTTGAGAACATTGTAATTTGTGGTACTATTTCGTAGATATTTCTACAAAAAAAAATAACCATTTCTACAAAAAATTAAATATTTCAACAAAAATTTACAAATTTCTATTTCTAGTTAAATTTTGTAGTTATTCATAGAAATTTTTTCCGCCAGGGTATTGTCCGAAAAAATAAATTTAATAACAATTAAGGAAGTTTGATCATTACTTATTGTGAGTCAAAAATGCGATTGAAATAAATGTCATTACAGCGATCCCGAATTATATGCAATATTAGTATAATGAATTGTGGATGCTACTTACGTGCTATATTCTTCGCCAATTATTAGTGTATAGAATATTAACAAACATATACTGGGGTATGAGAGCGTCAACGACTCGGGAATTGCTTATTTGGCCAACATTATAGGTTAGAACCTGTCACTTTGTGACAATAAGCTTTCTATATTAATATTGCATATAATTCGGGATCGCTGTAATGACATTTATTTCAGTCGCATTTTTGACTCACAAGTAATAATCGAACCTCCTTAAGACTTGACAGGAGAGTAGTTAACTTAGCCCGATTCAGCCCCGGGGGCTCCGAGGGGGGGTGAAGGAGGGGGTATCAGATTTCGCGGGGGGTGAGGAGAAGGGAAGAAAGGGCGGGGTATCGGGTTACACAAGGGTATCAAATTACAAGGAGATAACGCGGGGAGAAGGGGAGGAGGTATTGGGTTACACAAGGGTATCGGATTACACAAGAGTATCGAATTTCAAGGATATCGGATTTCGCGGGGGATGAGGGGGAGGGGAGGAGTTGACCTTGGCATACCACCGGTATGACTCACCGTGATGAGTCACCGGGATGACTCACCTGCGCCACGGGTTCGCGGGAGGGGAAGTCGCGCCGCGGGGTACGTTCGCAACAACGCCGCTAGGCGGCGCACAATAGGTAAGACTAACTCGCGATAGTGCACTGCGTAGGAGCGTGTTTTGTCGATAACACATCGAACCTGTCGGGACATGTTCGTCATAAACATTTTTCTAGGAAAAGGGGGTGTTATCGCGTAGACTAAACAATCTATCTACGCAGTACGTAAAAGACAAAGAAGAAAATGACGTCATTGG